TCACGTGTCCAGACTCTTATTAGAGGGTCACTACTACTGGGTATTTACGACAAATGGTCGGATTTTCAATCCGATCGAACAGTGGTACTTAGTTGGTGCAGTTCAAAAAACTCCCTAGCTCAATCACTGGGTATTTACGACAAATGGTCGAATTTTCAATCCGATCGAACAGTGGTACTTAGTTGGTGCAGTTCAAAAAACTCCCTAGCTCAATCGGATTTTGGTGCGCTATTGTAGACGACGCATTGCATTTCATGTGCGATAGGCTTTCTATAAGAGTTTACGATGTTCTGTGATTTGTGCTGCGTCTGAAGAAACGACATTTGTCAAACAGCAGAGAACGCTCTTAACTTTTTGACTGGGATCTGTTTATTTCTTTCTAGAGATAAAGTAAGCAGACGATGGCACGGCTTGTTTCAAAATCGACCGAATTGGTAAAACGTACGGACAATGTTTTAATTATTCTATCTCTATATATTCATCATATTATTTTAACAAGAATTAATCTTGTACATCACATATTACGTAACGTTTTCTATTAAACTTCCGTGAAATAGTTGTACACGTAAATTTATCGCGTATTCAATGTTTTTGTTGATATGTTTGTACATCTTTTATTAAATCGCTAAATCCTGTCTGGCAATTAAAATTTATACTCTCTCTCTAGGGTTATGTTTTTTTACAACAACGCAAGACTGAACAAAATTTTTCATTATGGGATTAATTATGTAATTTCTCCCTAATACGTGAAAATTTTTATATATGCACATTATAAAATAAATTTTTACTTTTCACATTTCTGCTCTAGAGAAAAGGTTACACAAAACTATTGAAGAATAAACTACGTTAATCTACATATATGAAACAATTTAAATTTTTTGTATGTATTTCAAATACTAAGTAAATTAAAATTTCTTGTTAATTTTTATTATTTATAATGATGTTGTAACAAGAAAATTTAATATACTTTTAAATTTCGTCTCTTGCTACAAAAAATTTATACTTTAACTTTTACCATAGCTTGATTATCTATATTACATATATATGCACACTCTTGTGTACACACATATGTATACGTGTGTTTGTGTATATAAACATGAGATTTGTATTTCAAGAATTAAATAAAACTAAATAATATATATGAATTACAGTTGGTGTTAATCACATGAAGCCTATACTGCAAGTATGGTCACAGTACGCCAAAGTAGAACTGACGCCACCTACTCTAAAAGACATCTCTGCAATTCGTAGTGGATTTTCACAGTTGATTCATTCTGCACGGACTGGGCGTTATCGTGATGTCACTGTACGTGAAGGTATCATAAATACCTTAGTAGCTGCTGAAATATATTGCTGGTTCTTTGTTGGAGAATGTATCGGAAAGCGGCATATTGTTGGATATGATGTATAAATAGATATATAATCTTATATAGAATCCTGTATAAATTAGATTTGCTCATAAATATATTATACAAAAATATAAGTTAAACATTTCTTTTAATAAATATTACAATATAATATAGATTTTGTTTTGTTGAAAATACATTTATTTAATAATGTCTTCCTTTTTTTGTATCTTATAAATGTAAAAAATTATTTTAACACATGTTGGTTTGCATATTGCCATATGCAAATTGCGGCAGTAACGTGGACATTTAACGATCGTGTTACACCAATTTGAGGTATTTCTACACATTTGTCAAAGAGAGGTATAAAATTAGCTGGTATACCATCCTTCTCATTTCTGCAAAAAATAGTTTTTAATTATACTTTCAAAATTCGCAGCTTTTATATCTCGAAATTTAATTACCCTAAAACAAGAATGGTTCTTTTTTCAAATGTTGTCGTCATCAAACTTATACTATTGACCGTTTGTTCTACCCCAATTAAAGACCATCCTGTATTCTTTCTGTCTAACAAGAATTTCTGCAATTCATGTGGCTTTACCTAAGGATTTTAGAATAGTAGCGTTTTTTGAGAAATCCCAGTTAATAAACTGGATAAATAAAGAATTTTTAAAGAAGTAAATATTTCAAAGTTTTGATATTTTTAAATAATATTTAAAGCTCTTATGTTCATTCATTATTACTATCTCAGATTGTGACATGAAACAATTGATTCATGTATCTTCAAATAAGGTGAAAATTATGAAAGTAATGAATTTTCCTGACTGCTAGAAGGGATAAGAATAGCTTTCATATATTTCTACAATTGTTTTAAAGCTATCTTATTTCGTTTTATATAAATTTTTATTTCCAAATGGCACATAAAAATTAACATGTCATTTCTTGCTTCTGGCAATTCAATATAATTGTGGTGACTACTCAGAAGGTTTAAGATTGGTTTGCCATTTGGAACATTGTCAATAATTAGGCCATTTACTTTTTTCAAAAAAATTTGTTTCTTGCTTCTAACATAATATGAGGTAATATTGGTAAATAAATGAAAGGCTTAATATGTTTTTAAAAGTTAAAGACTGTATTGATTTAAAAAAAAATAAAAATTGCTTATGTCAAGCTGGAGAAAGTCGTTTACAATTTTTTAAATATAAATTTGAGAAATAAGCTGTTCAAGTACCTGTAGGATATTTAACCATTTATCAGCAGAAACACTGAGATACTGAAATTCCTTGTCCTTTGCACAATCAGCATTCGCAACGACTAATGCTTTAACTCCAAATATCTCGCATGTCCTAGCGATGCCGCCTAAATTTGGTGATCGATCAACAAAAGAAGCTACAACTATTAGACCTTCCTGTAACTGTATATCTTGCGAAAATGTGAATTTATTTATCATTTCAAAAATATCATCACATAAACCTATAGGCTTCAATGGATCAATCTTTTTTTGAATATCGTTAAAACCTTCCATATAAGTTTCAACATTATTTTCTAATGATTCGCCATATGAATCACCTGTAACGTAATTATTTTACATTTCATGCAATATTTTGTTACAGTTTTAATTGATTACCTGCAAAAGATTTTGTCAAATATATGGAAGGTGTACTTTCAGTGAGAAATGAACCTGTGTTACAAAGCTGTAGAGGATGACAATCATTTTCCATAAACATTAAATCTTTAAACATGTCCGGACTAATCCATTCATCACAACTTACATTAGTCAAACGCGGTAATTGATAATAAATCGTCTATAAACGTTACAAAATTAGAGAGTACGTTATCAATATTTACAAATAATTCAATTTTTTGTCTTGAAAGTAAACGTGCAGTGTACATATACCTGTAAGCAGTAATCATTGAACGGATGAAAATGTGAAAAATAAAAATCATCCTGTATGCTAGATGAATTTTTTATCAAACTTTCTTGTTGCAAACCAATCACAGCCGCCTGATATATACCTCTATACTCTGGTATGCTGTTATCCCCATAAGTTGCTTTCATTAATTCATACAATTGTGTCAAAATGAACTAAACAGAAAAAAAATTAAAACGAGTGAATTTGAATGAGCTACGCATTTACACTTATATATATATATATATGTATGTACACACATGTATGTATAAAGATATATATATATATATACATGTATGTATGTAAAGACATATAAATGTACATATATCATTCGATTTCACTCGTCACACACATACGCACGCACGCACGCGTGCGCGCACACGCACTTTAATCTATTTCAACACTGGTTACGTTTATATCGTGCACTTAGTCCGCGACCTATACGATAGCTATCTTTGTTTAACCTACAGGATAAACAAGGCCATCTATTGTATATGCTGCGGCCTAAATGCACGGTGTAAACGTAGCTATTTTACTTACCTGATTGCAAATACGTGCATTAAACTGCTGTCCTAAACAACATTGCACTATATATGGCAGGGCTGTTTGAATGAAAATTCTCTGATTATCATGTGAAAGAAGTTTTGCGACATGATAGACAATGCTTGCCACAGAAATGGTACATCTCGGTCGGTCTTTTATGCTCTGGAAATATATACGCGTATACATATGTATACTGTAAAGCAAACGAAATCTTTTTTATAAAATAATAAAAGTCATTTTCGGATTACCTTAGCAAAAAGTAACCATAGTTGATCATGCAAATGAACATTTTTTGTAAAAATTCGTATCAATAACCATTCCTGCATTATTTTCACACTCGATTGATTGCTTTCCGAAAAAATAAAATCACATAATTGTTCCTGTATTAGAGGGATAAATTCCTATAAAGTAAAATTATTTAATTAACTTCTTCAATTAATGTTAATTTCTTCATCGAAAAATAAAATTTAACTAACAACAAGAACTTAAATTAAACCTTTACAAAAGGGGACCACCTTCCGACGACCTTGACCTTGACATATGTTGTCAAGGTCATGACCCTGAGTAATCTCCGGCAGGTATTAGTCGTCGCTCGTCCTTCGTTAAAAAGTTATTAACAATCAAAGTTTTAAAAATAACGTCTTATTTCTGCTATATACCATCTTAAACATTATTCTACACATACATTTTGACTTCCTACACTACACGAACTCCAATTCCTCCCCCCCCTCCAAGGGGCGTACGACTTCTATGATTGCACTGGTGCAATTTAAAATTAAGGTATAATATATAATATATGTATGATATTGAGTACTATTCTACACTTTTCCCTATTCAGAAACGTTAAACTTTCCACGAGAAGTAACTTTCACGCCCCCCCCCCTGCACAGGGGCACACGACTTCTACGATTGTACTGTTGCTATGATAGTACTGTCGGGGCAGACCTCTGTGACGGTGTGGGTGCGGGGGGGTGGCCGAAGGCCACCTCCTTGCACCCGCCCGTGTGTATGTGTGTGTAAAATATCAAGTAATAGACTCATAATCGTTATATAACGAATGGAATACACACGCACGCACGGGCGGGTGCAAGGAGGTGGCCTTCGGCCACCCCCCCGCACCCACACCGTCACGGAGGTCTGCCACGACAGTATATGTATACTATCATAGCAACAGTACAATCGTAGAAGTCGTGTGCCCCTGTGCAGGGGGGGGGGGGGAGGTGAAGATTACTTCGCGTGGAAAGTTTAACGTTACTGAACAGGGAAAGGTGTAGGAATAGTACTTGATATCATACGTATATAGCAGAAATGAAACTTATATTTTAGAACTATGATTGTTAATAACTTTTTAACGAAGGACGAGCGACTAAAACATGTAGGAGGTTACTCAGGGTCATGACAGCATAGGTCATCGGAGGGTGGTCCCCTTTTGTAAAGGTTTACCAAATTAATTATTAATAAAAGGCTCACACACAAGATAAAAATCTAAATATAATAAATAATGCCTATAAGAGCCAACACACAATATGTGTGTGAAATACAATTTGATAAAATAGTATAATGTATATGTTTCGACCCTTGTTTTGGGTCCTCTTTAGTATAAAAAAACACCATCAAATCTAATTTTATAACATTATTTTGTTACGTCGCAATTGTGAAGATTGTGTCCTATCTTGTAAAACTGTTAACTTTCAGAGATTGATTTACAATTGCGTAAACGTAGTTGTAGTTGGAAGAATTGACAAATTACAGTTGAATAAGAAGAGAATATCCAATTGTGATTGGAGGATTCTTACAACTACGATCACTTATATACCTAACTATGTTTACGCTATTGTAGATCAGACTTTATAAGCATTACTCATTATAACAAGAACTTAATAATGCTTTTTGAAGCTTCTCTCCATGTGCATTTACTTAGCTTACCTTTCGCAGTACTGGTTCTAATATTAATAAAATTTGCATTATTCTGTGTTTTAATTTATGTAAAGGCGAGTCTTTAAAATATCTCTTGGTTTTGTTTTTTTCCAACTCATTGAGTAGTGATTGTACAAATGATGCTGCGTAATTGAATTCTGAATTACTAATTATTCTATGTAATAGTATAACCGCCTCTGCTCTAATTGCAGCATTATGATCCCTGCAGTAAGAAATATTAATGTTTTATTAATTATAATTTGCTTTGAATTAATTTTAAGCTATGTATTCGAAATATTGATAAAAAGATATGCTTACAACGTAAAAATATGCTTTGAATAATATTGATTCAATTGCTTCTCAATAAATAAATGAGCATAATTTTCGATTTTCTTGTCACGTCGGTGTACAAAACCATGAAGGAAACAATTCCCTAACACATTTTCTAATTTCATCAAATTGTGTATATCCAAATTTTTCATTTTAGAAAGCAATATCCTTTTAAATCTTGGTGTATTTTCTCCTTCGTTTAATAATTTAACTACATACTGCAAAGCAAAACAGATTGTTGTTTAATAAGTCGATATTTTGTATAATAATGATGTATAATAATTATTAACTCACTCTTTCCGTGAATTCTATGGCATTAAGTAAAGGCAAGAAATTATTATTAATAATAACTCCCATGAGGTTCTCCATTGCTGTCCAGAAAATTTTGTTTCTTTTACTGTTGATGATGCACGTAAAGCTCAAGTTAAAAATATATTCCAAAGTTTCTTTATCACGTGCATCGCTTATAATTTTATTATCAATTATTACTGTTAATATTTTTGCAATTTCAGAAACATTTTCTGGTAAGCCTATCTCAAGGAATTGTAGTAAATTAGACAGTATTATGGTAATAGAAATCCATGAAGGAGAATTTATAAGATATTGATGCAGAAGTTTTAAAAGTAGCAAATCATATTCTGATGCCGTTTTTCCTTTTAGAAATTTTTCTTTATTGACATCGTTATGCATATTCATTCGCGTATTCAGTAAACGCTTTATATAAAAATTTTTTGTAAGTGGCAAAGTTAATATATTCTGAGAGAGATGTAAGGTGTGTAATCCATATAAATATTGTATATTTAAATTTTGTAAGTCATGTACCAAGTTTATACTTTCGTTTTGCAACTTGTCTGCATAAACGTTTACATCCTTTTCTGACATGAGAAAAGGAGCATTGACAATATGTGAAGATACAATAGCCGTGTATTTTGTATAATTTTCGTAAGACATTTCTGTGGACATCTTTCTCATATTTTTAATTAAAAAATTAAAAGTGACGTGTACATGTAACGATATAAAGTCCGTCATATCATTGTGAGGTCCCTTCCGGGCAAGATATAATAAATGCGATATAAATTCTACTACATTCATACTTGAAATGACATCAGCATACGGTCGTATATTGACACCATTTAACGTATACAACCAATTGTTTAATGCTTCTACGACAGGACACGTCTTGCATAAGGATATAAGATTCGCGTCATATAACAAATATACCATTATTGAAAATGTCCTAGGATTTATCTCAGGACTATCTTGATTCGAGTATTTCGTACAAGTCTCCTTTATGAAAGTTATTACGTCTTCTCTCGCTAATACTTTTCCCAACCAAGTCGTAATAACGTTCCAAGGAACTGTTCCTCTCGTAAGACTTTCTTCAGAAGGAAATGCAGCTAAGACATTAGCGAGTAACGGTAGATTGTTTATTTTTCGTACATAATTAGGGATTGTTCTTAAGAGTTCAATTTGTGATGCAGTACGTAGAATGCGAGAATGCATGCTTAAATTTGTTTCCACTAAAAATTTAATAGCATTCAATTCAGTAGTCTGCCAATCAGAATGTTGAATAGCATGATGTGAAATTATTCGTAACGCATGTATTATATAAAATATTGCTACAGGCCCCCAGTTTACACAGCTGATCTTTTTAAGAAATCTATTGAGTAAATTGCTTTTCTCCGCGTATTCGAGAAATTGTGAGAGCTCTTTCACAATTCCCGGACATTTTTTGTCAGTCTGACATTCGTAAAGGAAGTTATTATTCAAGACATGTATAAATAATTCAAGAAATTGATCATCAAATATAGTTTTGTCTAGTCTACAAACGTATGATACACCCCACTTTACGATACAATTATTCTCATGCAGTAAGATTTTCTCAAAAATACATTGCAACCATACAATGTTGAAGCAGTTACAAGCTCTGTGCTCTTTGTTTACTTTTATTAAAGTAGCTGCATGAATTAAAGTTGGTGTTATTAAATGTTCTTTTTTCTCTTCTAATGCTTCGTAAAGTAAGAAAAATTTCTTCTTAATGTTATCTATTGATGAAGAAGTGTCAGAGTCACTACAAATAAATGGTGTAATTTGTGCTTTTGTCACATTCAATTGTGATTCAAATATAACATTTTTACTCATAGAACTAATTGCTTTTTTCATTATGTATAAAGCATGTTTGCGATATTGTTGCAAGGGCGATCGCAATCCCTTCAGTATCAATAGCCAGAATGTGTTCTTACAGTAAATATCATACTGTATATAGTTGATTGAATTTGATGATGTAAAACATATATCTGCCATGATACTTAGGCCAATAAGAGATTCCTTTAAATCACTTATTTCATATAAGAAATAATTCCACAGAGGAAACAAAATACATGTAGGAGTAAACATTTCTACTAATTTAGGAAGTATTAAAGCAAACTGTCTCCACTCACAATCTTCCTTTAACTTTAGCCAAGACTTTACAATGTCCAAATATATGTGGCCAAGGCTTTTCAATTCTTTGCTATCCTTGGTGGTATGAAGTTCGTATAAGCATAAAAATTCTAAAAAAATTTCTAATATATTCATATACATAATCCTAGAATTGCTAGTTGCAGTATACTTGTCGTTTGAATAAAGAAAATTCTGCAGATATTGTTTGATTGAACAAATATTATAGTAAAGTAACATCTGGAGATTGATTATGTCACACAAAAGTGAAACTTCTGATGTATTTCGCAAACAGTTTGGCGGGAAAATCATTTTTATACTAGGAAAGTTAAGTTCTTCTATTTTAGCGGATATCATATGTTGCTTATGATCATTCCTTTCGATGTTGTGAAATACAGATTGATATTCATAACATAATAGCAACCGGTAGAACTCTAGTTTACCTATGTCTAATTCTTCTTTGATTATTTCGTAACTATAAGACTGTATCAAATGATGTATACTAATAGACTGGTTTATAGTTTGTAAAAGTGAAATATTCACTGTTGAGAAACGTAAGTAGTGATTATGGAGATCCATCTTATTTGGATTTACTTTCTCCCACTACTCATAATTATATAAAACTGTTTAGTATTTCCTAAGCTTAGGACACAAGATGCTTGTTTTCTTGTTGGATTGCTTAACTATGTTTTGGTAAATTATTTTGTGTTGTAATAATGTTTGTATCTTTCAATTCTTAATAGTCAAAATAAATATAAAACAGCCATGACTTTCTGTATTATAAATTTTGCATACCTATCTTTTCAGCTGATTTCTTACTTGATTTAATGTTATCAATATAATATTTGCCATCAATATTATATTTGCAAT